GATTTACAAGGAGCTGAGAAGCCGGATCCAACACAAAGTGTCTACATCTCGGTTCCAGACTGCACCATTGATACAGCTGCGAAAAAATAATAGCACCACTTACTCGAGCAATGTTTGGATAGTCACTCTACCTATATTTTTAGCACTGTCAAAACATGCCAATACCTTTTTGGAATCAAAATGCAACAAAGTATCAGAAAGTGAAAACAAAAATTTTATTTCTTTTTTGGTTTTTAAAATATTTAAAAAAACTTTACTAAAACTTGAAAAACTTAACGAAAAAAATAATAGCACCACTTTTCAAAAATGGGTTTAAAATTATAGAAACTTCCAATATTCATGAGATAACAATATTAAACTGTTAAATCTATGCTTATATTCTTCATTTAATACTTTGTGGTGTATCCTTTATTGGAAATAACATCTGCGCAGCGTCTTGGCATGGGGTCAACTACGTTCTTGCATCGCTTTATGGAAATTTGAGTCCAGGACTCCTTAATTACTCCCCAAAGGGATCCGATGGATGTTGGTTTTGATGCAGCGACTGCCTTCTTGACGTCCGACCATAGATTCTCTGTTGGATTAAGGTCTGGAGACTTCGGAGGCCACTACATATCGTTCACAGAGTTGTCCCCAAACCTTTTCTTTGCCTTCTTGCTGTTATGTTTGGCGTCATTATCTTGTTGGAAGACCGACACGAGCGGCATTTCATACTCTGCGAAAGGTAGCATTATGGTATCCATGATATCCACGTATACGTGCTGATCCATGATGGCCTTGATCCAATGTATCGGGCCTACTCCGTAATAGGAAAAGCGGGCCCATACCATCACACTACGCCCTACATGCCTTATGGTCCTTGTGGTGTACTGGGGCTTAAATTCCGAGTTCTTTGGACGTCTGAAATACGATCTGGATCCTTTTCCACCAAACATAACCACCTTGCTCTCATCTGACCATAAAATATTCCTCCACTGTTCGGGTGACCAATTTGCATGATCCTTTGCAAATTTCAATCGCTTAGATACATTTCTGGGACTTAAAAGTGGTGCCTTTCTCGGGCTGCAGGCTTTTAGGTTATGTTGTCTGAGATATGTACGCACAGTTTGCTCCGTCGCATTTATTTTAAGCTCCTTTTTAAGCTCAGTAGCAGACTTGAAAGGTTCCTTCTTGCTTTGACGAATCAATCGATTGACATGAAGGGGGGTCATAGATCGCTTTCGTTCTCGTGTTTCAGGTTTTTCCTTATAGTTTAGAGCGTTCTTTATCATTTTATTTGAACACCCGACCAATCGACCAACTTCCCTGTACGATTTTCCATCCTTTATCAACTTTTGGATGATATCACGCTTTTCCTCAGTGCAATGCTTTCCACGTCCCATTTCAATGGTATTGTCAAACTTTTTATGTTCAAAATATTGAAATAATAGACAAATCTAATTGACACGTACTTTGAATTAGACTATTCGCCAAATTTGTATGGTATTTGCTAATAAATGTGTTAGTGGCGCTTTGTTTTTTTTCGCCATTTTTTGGGCTTTTTTAATAAAATACTTAAAAATAAATATATAGGCAGGACTTCTAAGTATGGTAACACATTTTTTGGTTAGAAGGAATACTAAAGAGTACAAAAAAATTTTTGTGTTGAAAAAAACAAACACTGAAAACAATTTTAATTTACCCAGAAGAAAATGTATTGAAGTGGTGCTATTATATTTTTCGCCACTGTACCTTCGAAACCTACCCTAACGTCTTCTTTTCACCTGCAGGGATATCTTCATTGTGTTGTTCAAACGTTTAGAAATTCAACCTTACCGGGACTACATTCCATGATGAAATATCACCTGCAGCCACCTACCAACCTATTGAGCAGACAGGTACCAAAATGGAAGTATTGATACGTAACCTGCAACAAAGTAGGCAAGAGCTCATGAAATTTATAGAGACGACCATGCAAGGTCTGATGGGAAATCAAGATATTTTGATTCAGATGCTTCAAAACACCTTATCAAAATAATCAATGGCTTACCTGCGTGTAGCTTTGTGGAATGCTAACGGGGTTTAACGGCACAAACTTAGGCTACACCAGCGGCCAGAAACCGAAGACAATCCTTGGAAAATCATTTCAAATAGAACAAACTGGGTCAAATTTAAAAAGTTCGTAAGCTTGCACTTTGAGCTATACCCACGGCTAAACAACGTAGTAGACATAAACAGCTTTACCAACACACTCGAGTCGGTTTTGGTCTCAGCGGCTCAAGTCTCAACACCCCAAAGAAGAAACTCAACCTAATGCTACACAAATGCAGAAATCGGGAGGCTGGTCCATGAAAAGTGCTAATCAAGAAGAGAGTGGCTGTTACTTAGATCGCCATTCGCAAAGATAAAGTTAAAAGAAGTCACACAACTGCTCACCGAGGCATTGAGACAAGAGGACAGAACCAAGCATAGGGCAAACAAACGGTACTCTTGACAAGCAACATGTTTATACCCGTTACTCGTAGAGTAAAAGGGTATACTAGATTCGTCGGAAAGTATGTAACAGGCAGAAGGAAGCGTTTCCGACCCCATAAAGTATATATATTCTTGATCAGGATCACTAGCCGAGTCGATCTAGCCATGTCCGTCTGTCCGTCTGTCCGTCTGTCCGTCTGTCCGTCTGTCTGTCCGTCCGGATGAACGCTGAGATCTCGGAAACTATGAGAGCTAGGCTATTGAGATTTGGCGTACAGATTCCTGAGCTTCTTACGCAGCGCAAGTTTGTTTCAGTAGACTGCCACGCCCACTCTAACGCCCACAAACCGCCCAAAACTGTAACTCCTACAGTTTTGATGCTAGATAGAAAATTTTAACTGAAATGTATTGTTCTCATCAATACCTATCGATTGACCTAAAAAAAAGTTTGCCACGCCCACTTAAACGCCCACAAACCGCGAAAACCTGTGACGCCCACAATTTGCATGCTAGATAAAAAATTTTAACTGAAATGTATTGGTGTCGTCAATACCTATCGATTGATTCAAAAATAATTTTGCCACGCCCACTCTAACGCCCATAACGCTTAAATCTGTCTACCGCCGGTAGGTGGCGCATTTTAATTTCGCTTTGCTGCTTGCATATCTCCATTTCCCTTTGAGTAACGGGTATCTGATAGTCGAGGTACTCGACTGTAGCGTTCTTCCTTGTTTTTTTTTCGTCTCTTGCATTTCTCGTCACTTGCATTTTCAATTTGGAAAAGTGAATTTCAGTTCCTCGTGTTTTATTAAATTTTGTTGCTTTTTGCCAACAACTATTAATTAATATTTTCACAGGTGAGGAAAGTGTAGTTAGTGTATGTGATTAAAAAACACATATGAAAAATGTTTTTAAAGGGCTAAGGGAGTTCGAGCTTGTAAAAACATCGGTATGGGGGTCTGAAATAATTAACTTAAAGCCGAAAAATCAAATTGTAGCCTTAGTTTGATCGTCTGTGGTTGTTTATTTTGTAATTAATAACATATTTTCTTAACAAATGTAAGCAAGATTTACAAAAAGTTTTTTTTATGAATGTAGGGCTTTATTGGAAACATGAAAACTTTTAAATTACTTTAGAGTTCGAAGAATTAATTTTCCTTATTTCCTTCTTACTCGTTCTTTAATTATTAGTTTTTTTCGTTCTTTTAGGATGTCCTTGATGTACCAATTTCTCAAATTGTAAAGAAGTCCGTTTCACCTTCAAAGGCAACCCTTTGCCACTCTTTGTAATAATTTATTTATTTATATAAAGCTAGCTTAAAGTTAAAACTATAGGCTAACTTAATTAAGAGCTATAGCAGCTAAGGCCTTCAACTCAACTCTTTGTAATAATTATAACACCTTATATCATCTAATTTGTTCCTCAAATTCTATCCCTGTATTGAAAACTAAAATTTTAACTCATTTGCTTTAGTCTAAGTTTCTCTTTGATTTGTCCCGCCTTTATTTGTTTTATGTACTATCCTCGCGAACCATATGCGTCCGAAATGAAAAATGGGCCCCGCGCGTAACAAGCACGTGCTTGGTGTCGTTGGGCCACTTGTTTCAACGTTCAACAATATATATACATTATATATTGATATGTCTGTCAAAATATAGCTCTGACTGTAAAATAAAAAAAATTGGCTTGAATGGGTGGATATAAGTCGAGATATACGAAGAAATTAAAACAAGAGAAAACTATATAGTCGACGGCCTCGACTATCAGATAGCCTTTTCTCAGCTAAAGGGAGTGCCAGAGGGATGCTTAAAGCAACTCTGCTTTTTTAAATATCACACCTAGCCTATAGCGCCACCTAACGCCACCTAGCGGCACCTAGAGCTACCTAGCCTATACCGTCACCTAGCCTACAGCGCCAACTAGCTTATAGTATATAGATTCTTGAGCTTCTTGAGTAGGGTGCCACTCCCACTCTAACGCGCACAAACGCCCATAACAATAAAACCCGTTAAGCACCAAAATTTCTTAAAATTTTGGAAAATTTTAAATAAGAATTTGTTTTGACTATCAATGTCCAACTGCATTCCAAAAATTGTTTAATTCGGCCCATTCATTAAAAAGTTAAAAGCAACTAAAGTATGAAATCTTGCGAAGAGAGTCTTTGCTACTTATTAATCTCTATCTCCCTCCCGCCCAGTACACTTAGCTGAGTAACGGGTATCTTACAGTCGATGGCATTAACTATAGCGTTCTCTCTTGTGTTGTCTTCTGTCGTTGCTGTGTATCGCAGCTGTGGTGCTGGCGCATGATCGACCTTTCAAGAATTGGCAGCGGTGTACCAGAAACTTCCAGCACTCGTCACATTTAACAGCTTCTGGCAGCAATTCTTCCAGGCTGCTCTTACTTAAACCGGATTCCCTCTTTACTTTGGCAGTTAAGTTTTTTATATCAATTTCCATTTTTGGGCGCTCCAGTCAAGGGGAAGTGCATTTTTTTCCTTGGTCATGTTGAACTGTTGTGGTCAACAGTGGCAGCCTAGAGAGGGGAAACACAACGGTTCAAATAGGACACTGACACTACCACGGCCCACCTCGGCGTTGTGTTTATTAGCGAAGACGAAAAACAAACTCAGCACGTGGTCGTTTGGGTAAAGCAGCGGCTTGTGTGTGTCTGTGATGTAAGTTTACTTCCCAAACGAAAATTCCGGAACGCATTCCGAAAAAACAGTTCTAGGTCGCCATTTTTTAAGCAAAGCGAAACGTTTGAAACTTTTCAAGGCAAATGTACATGATAGGTGCAGTTCATGGCGGTGCCTTCTAGTGCCACGCCCACTCTAACGCCCACAAACCTCCCAAAACTCTGGCTCCTACAGTTTTTATGCTAGAATAAAAACTTTAACTGAAATGTATTGTTCTTATCAATACCTATCGATTGACCCAAAAAAAGTTTGTCAAGACCACTTGAACGCCCACAAACCGCCCACAAACTTCATAAAATCGTACATATGAACGCGGATATCTCGAAATCTATTAAAGATCGAGAATTGGGATTTTAGATTTAGATTCTGTAGACTTGTACGCAGCGCAAGTTTCTTACGCGAATATGCCACGCCCACTCTAAAGCCCACAAGCCGCCCTAGCCTGTGGCGCCCACAATTTTCATTTAATTTATGTTTTCTGTTCACATGTGTAACTCCTGAATAAATATTAGCACTTCTAGCTTAAAATAAATTTAAATTAGTTATAATAATAACATATGACGCATCTTCGTTGCTATATTTTCTTCCACCACTGTAAAAGAACCAAGCATAGGCCAAACAAAAGGTACCCTTTGACAAGCAACCGAAAAATAGGGACATGGGAAAATGTGTGCAGTTCTTTTTCGGCCCTTGGATTTCTCGTCACTTGCATTTTCAATTTGGAAAAGTATATTTAAGTTCCTCGTGCTTCATAAAATGTTGTTGCTTTTTGCCAACAACTTCTAACTAATATTTCCATAGGTAAGGGAAGTGTAGTTAGTGTAAATTAAGACAATTAAAAATTAAAACAATTGAGTAAAAATGTTTTAAAAAATGTTTGCAACGGGATGATTCTTAAAGGGCTGAGGGGGAGTTTGAGATTTTAAAAACATCGGGGCTTAAAATAATAAACTTAAAGCCAAAAAATCGAATTGTAGCCTTAGTTTGTTCGTCTGTGCCTGTTTACCTTGAAATTAATAACATATTTTCTTAACAAATGAATGTAGGGCTTTATTGGACAATATGATAACTTTTAAATTACCCAAGAATTTAAACAGTTTATGTTCCTTATTTATTTCTTACTCGATCTTCAATTATTAATTTATTTCGTTCTTTTAGGATGTGCTCGATGTACCAATTTCTCAAATTGTAAAGACGTCCGTTTCACCTTCAAAGGCAAGTGTCCGGAAACAAAATCAAGTGCAAAGTAAAAAGAAACGGAGAAAAATGGAGTCATCGGATGATGAAAACAGTGAGGCGGAGAATGCATGAGATAAATATTATAAATTGGCTTACTTAATATATGAAGTATAAAAAAAAGTCTAATGTAAACTCAAATAATATTACATGTACTTTAAAAAACATGTTAAATATCTTTACTGCAAGCATAAACTTATTGTTTATGAGAAAAAATAAATATGTTAGTCTGTAATTACTTCAGTTAAGCTATTTTTCATTATATTGAGGAATCATTGAAACACACTTTCTATAGACTAACAAAACATTTTTTTGTAGAAAAATAAATTTTAATTTCAATTAACACACATATTTAGCTAATCAAATTCTAATAAATATAAACATTAATAAATATATTATGTGGAAGCGCTGTTGTTACTTAGTCCAAAGTTTCTGAAACTAAATAGTTTTCTTTACTAGTAGGTCTTGCAAATACAAAAACTTATTTATTTAAAAAGTTTTAAGAATTTCCTTTTTTAAATTTTAAAAATTTTAGAAATGTTTTTTCAACGTGTATCAAGTTATAATTTACACGTCGTTGGGAGTAGACGTGTTTTCGGTGAGCGCGCATAGTGACCACACATTGGCAAGAAAGTAAATAAGTGCAAAGTAAGTTTTTATGGCGAAATTTTTTTTAAATTTATTTATTTTATTTTGTGTAATTGACATTGCACTTAAAATTAATAACTAAAAAACAAGGAAGAACGCTATAGTCGAGTACCTCGACTATCAGATACCCGTTACTCAGCTAAAGGAACCAAAGGGAAATGGAGATATGCAAGCAGCAAAGCAAGATTAAATTAAGCCACTTACCGGCGGTAGACAGATTCAAGCGTTATGGGCGTTAGAGTGGGCGTGGCAAATTTTTTTTTGGATCAAACGATAGGAATAGACGAGACCAATACATTTCATTTACAATTTTTTAACTGGCATGAAAACTGGGCGTCACAGGTTTAGCCGGTTTGTGGGCGTAAGAGTGGGCGTGGCAAACTTTTTTTGGGGTCAATCGATAGGTATTGATGAGAACAATACACTTTGGTTAAAATGTTTATTCTAGCATTAAAACTGTAGGAGCCAAATTTGGGCGGTTTGTGGGCGTACGAGTGGGCGTGGCACACTGTTGAAACAAACTTGCGCTGCGTAAGAAGCTCAGGAATCTGCACGCCAAATCTCAATAGCCTAGCTCTTATAGTTTCCGAGATCTCAGCGTTCATCCGGACGGACAGACAGACGGACATGGCTAGATCGACTCGGCTAGTGATCCTGATCAAGAATATATATACTTTATGGGGTAGGAAACGCTTTCTTCTGCCTGTTACATACTTTCCGACGAATCTAGTATACCCTTTTACTCTACGAGTAACGGGTATAACAAATCAAAGAGACGCACTGCCGGCAAAAACAAGTTCGACCGTGCAGACTGGAATGGATCGCTTCATTCAAATAAAGCGGAAATTATACCCACAGAATGCTAAGTTGGGCAATATGGCCATGCTAAACCGTGTTGCCTTCAAACAACTTGCGGTGGAGAACACAAGCAGAGAGAAGAGATTTGCAATTCTGGAGGACCAGCCACTGAATCGGAGAAGAAAATGCTAAAATCCAGCTCCAATTTGCATACGAGAGAAAACTTCCAATACCCTCTTGAGTTCTATATTGGAATGATAACTTCCACGTTGTTCTCTTATCAAAATGTCATATTCATGAGACCAAAGACCAAGTCAAACACGAAGATATGTTTAGAATTCTGACTAAATACCTAGATGACAACAAAATGAACTACTACACTTATCACCTTAAAAGCAGCAAAGGCCAACAAGTAGTAACTAAGGGTATTAAAGCAGACGTACAACCAACAGAAGTAGCACATGTACTAAGGGAGAACGGATTTGAAGTAAAGCGACGCCCCTAACCCTTAATCAAGGTGGAACTGCTACCAGCGCTTAAAGCTTTGAAAAAGAATGAAATGCATCCCATCTACAAGCTCCCGTACTTACTTCAGTGCAGAGCCTTTGTTGAGGAGCCGCATAAACGCAATGGCCCGGTATAATGCACAAATTGCTCGCTTCGCCCCATATGAGTAACTTGTGGCGAGTTCAATGGCTCTGATGACTGCAACTTTATCAAAAAAAATAAACAAAAAACCAAAAGTGTGGAAACTGTGGAGGTAACCGCACCGCAAACTATAGAGGTTGTCCGGTTACAAGGAGCTGAAACGCCGGATCCAACACAAAGTGTCTACATCTCGGTTCCAGACTGCACCATTGATACCTTCGAAACCTACCCTGACGCCTTCTTTTCACCTGCAGGGAAATCTTCATTGTGTTGTTCAAACGTTTACAAATCCAACCTTACCGGGACTACATTCAATGGTGAAATATCACCTGCAGCCTCCTACCAACCTTTTGAGCAGACAGGTTCCAAAATGGAAGTATTGATACGTAACCTGCAACAAAGTAGGCCAGAGCTCATGAAATTTATAGAGACGACCATGCAAGGTCTGATGGAAAATTAAGATATTTTGATTCAAATGCTTCGAAACACCTTATCAAAATAATCAATGGCTTACCTGCGTGTAGCTTTGTGGAATGCTAACGGGGTTTAACGGCACAAACTTAGGCTACACCAGCGGCCAGAAACCGAAGACAATCCTTGGAAAATCATTTCAAATAGAACAAACTGGGTCAAATTTAAAAAGTTCGTAAGCTTGCACTTTGAGCTATACCCACGGCTAAACAACGTAGTAGACATAAACAGCTTTACCAACACACTCGAGTCGGTTTTGGTCTCAGCGGCTCAAGTCTCAACACCCCAAAGAAGAAACTCAACCTAATGCTACACAAATGCAGAAATCGGGAGGCTGGTCCATGAAAAGTGCTAATAAAGAAGAGAGTGGCTGTTACTTAGATCGCCATTCGCAAAGATAAAGTTAAAAGAAGTCACACGACTGCTCACCGAGGCATTGAGACAAGAGGACAGAACCAAGCATAGGCCAAACAAACGGTACTCTTTACAAGCAACATGTTTTGTTTTCGTCTCTTGCATTTCTTGTCACTTGCATTTTCAATTTGGAAAAGTGAATTTCAGTTCCCCGTGTTTTATTAAATTTTGTTGCTTTATGCCAACAACTTTTAATCAATATTTTCACAGTTAAGGAAAGTGTAGTTAGTGTAGTTCTAAATTAAAACAATTGAGTGAAAAGGTAAAAGTGATATAAAAACACACACGAAAAAGAAGCAGAGAAAAATGGAGTCATCGGATGCATGAGATAAATATTATAAATTAAGTAAATAATATTACAAGTACTTTAAAAAAATGTTAAACATCTTTTCTGCAAGCATGAAAAATTAAATGTGTTAGTCTGTAATTTCTTGATTTAAGCTTTTTTCTATTATATTGAGGAATGAAACACATTGTACATAGAGTATGTTTTTTTATCACGATACGGTAACAAAACATTTATTTTATAGAAAAATAAATACCTTATATTTTGAATTCAATTAACACACACTTAATAAAAAACGATAATCATATTGTAATAAATGTAAACATTTCATAAATATATTGTTGTTACTAACTCCAAAGTTGTTGAAATTAAATCGATTTCTTTGTTAGTAGGTCTTGCAAATACAATAACTTATTTATTTATAAAGTCTTAAGAATTACTTATTTTAAATTTTAAAGATTTTTGAAATATTTTTTTAACGTGTCTCAAGTTTTAATTTTGTAATTGGCATTGCACTTAAAATAAATGATTAAACAAGGAAGAACGCTATAGTCGACTATTAGATACCCGTTACTCATCTTAAGCGACCAAAGGTAAATGGAAATATGCAAGCAGCAAAGCGAGATTGAAATGCGCCACCTACCCGTGATCTCAATAAATGGTAATGTGGGTGGTAGACAGATTTAAGCGTAATGGGCGTTAGAGTGGGCGGTGCAAACTCGATAACTATTGACGAGACCAATACATTTCAGTTAAAATTTTGTATCTAGCTTGAAAATTGTGGGCGCCACAGATTTGGGCGGTTTGTGGCCGTTAGAGTGGGCGTGGCATTTTCGCGTTACAAACTTGCGCTGCGTACAAGGCTACGGAATTTAAATCTGAGATCCCAATTCTCTATCTTTGATAGTTTCCGAGATATCAGCGTTCATATTTACGATTTTTTGAAGTTTGCGGGCGTTAAAGTGGGCGTGGCAAACTTTTTTTTGGGTCAGTCGATAGGTATTGATGAGAACAATACATTGATGAGAACAACACATTTCAGTTAAAATTTTTTACCTAGCATCAAAACTTTAAGAGCCACAGTTTTGGGCAGTTTGTGGGCGTTAGAGTGGGCGTGGTACCCTGCTGAAACAAACTTCCAATTCGCAGGAATCTCAGGAATCTGCATGCCTTATCCCAGTATTGTAGCTTTTATAGTTTCCAAGATCTCAGCGTTCATACGGACAGACGGACATGGTTAGATCGACTCGGCTATTGATCCTGATTAAGAATATATATACTTTATGGGGTCGGAAACGATTCCTTCTGCCTGTTACATATTTTCCGACGAATCTAGAATACCCTTTTACTTTTCGAGTGACGGGTATAAAAACACAAATCAAAGACAGTCTTATATTAAATATGAGTCAAAACGATAATCGGGCCCAATGTCAACGCGTGCAAGACGAGCGTCGGCTTTCTATACAGCGAAGCTGTACGCCGGGGGGTAGCGGGGTACCGTCAGCGCTGGTAGAATGGCGGCGTCGGCGGGAACTGCTGCGCTGGGATTCGGCGGCTTGCTGCTGATGCGTCTGGCGTACGTTGGCTGCGGCGTACTGCGTCGAGCTGCAGGGGAGAAACACACGATACGCGAAGTGCTTCTTGACCGAAAAGAAAAAAGTTCACTTTATAATATATGATATATGACTGCCAAAATCGATATACTTAAGTCCAAGCTCAGTTCTGCGCTTCAACGCGTCCGGAGACTTCACGGAACCCCGGCCAGTCGCCCACGCCTTAATCCTGCATGCAGGCGCCGGACTACTGGCAGTCCCTCGTCGACCATTTGGAATCCCGGCTGTATCACCTTCGGGAAGACGTCCGCGCCCAGGATTAAGGAAATGGTGGCTGGCCGATGGAACCGCTCATCCACGAGTGGTAGCTTTCTGAACATCTTTACTACGCTCTCACTGAGCGCACGGATGGGGTGCGGATGCGC